CCCCTCCCCACTCCCTAGGTGAGCAAATGTAGAATAATGTAGAATAGAGCTAGGTTTCCCATATCACTACCTTTATCGTAATATAAATTTCACGAACGGACAGGCACACAAACCGGCAAACCGACACACCATGTTCTGCTTTATAATAAGAAAGATAATCTGTTTTAGATTCGTGACAAATCCGGGAATGACGAGCAGAAGCATGTTCCTCCAGCTGTGAGTCTTGTAGATGAAAAACAAGTACTCGTTCCTCCAGCGGTGAGACTCACCAACTACAATCATAGGTTACTCACGATCATTGAACAATTACTTTCTGAAGTTCCTTGACAACATAAATTCAGTGAGGAAATTGCAAAGTTATGACACATCGTTAAGAGCGAAATACGCTCCTAGTCAAAACACTCGAAATAGGATGTCCCAAAATTAGGGGCGCCAAAACCCACGAACTTATAAGGCAAGAATAGGTTATTAATTTTACCTAATTCGCTATTAATTGTTGCGCAATGAGGTTTCCTGCAATATTCATAAATGCTGAAGTAAGAGCCCCTACATTCCTTAGAATGTGAAGGCTCATTCGATGCATTCAAGAGGCGGGAGGGCAAAGTAAAAAACATCACGGTTAAATACTGTCGGTACAAAAGTCCAAAGTGTAAACGACCATGGAAGCAGAACCAAACAATGACAAATTGGGAAGCAGTAGAAAGGCCGGTCTCCTCAAAGATTGGGCTATTCAAATAGTTTGTTTTCGAGTCGATCGTGATCTCGTGACCCATGAGAAGAAAACAACTGAGCAGAAATTAACGAAGTTATCCATGAGGCGGATTGTCGAGCAAAGGTTTCATTGCCGTACCCATCGTGTGCAGAAGTGCCATTTCATTTCCGATTTCAACAGACAGTGTAAGGCAAAAAAGGCGAAAGGTCGTTAGCTCACCTATGTGGGAACCCCATACCTTGATCGCTTTTTCTGATGAGAACCTTTTCACGACAAGACCATTTCTTAAAAATATAGCGATAGCGTACAGGAGACAACATCGATAGTGCTATTCCTCCCGAAAAAGTTGTTATAAAATTACTGAGGGAGTTACAGAGTTACAAACAATGGTAAGATGCCGTTGTTCTAGTCGGTACCCGCGCGAAAATTGACAAAAACGTGAGCTGGAGTGCATAATGATTAGACGCGTACTGAACCACTGGTCCAACACAGCATGATACTTACTGCAATCAGTAGGCGCTCACAATTTCGGGAGACCCTGCATTATCAACACAAGCGATAGCTGTGGTAAAAATGGTGCTAGTATTATAGGCATCCCTCTCACCAAGTCCGAAATTCCGCAAAAAGAGGAAACTATCTAAGAAACTAGCGAAGGGGTGTTCATCTTCAATGTATTCTTTTGTTCATTCTTAGCGTGTTTTTTAAGGATTCGGAATATGTAGGGATTCCGAACGACCTACTTCCTGCCTACCGCAGCACAATAATTGAGAAGCAGAGAGCAGTTTCACTCAATATGGTACCCTATCTTGATACAGCTGATGGCAGTAAGTTGAGCAGAACTTTGTTATAACTTATCAAGTTCGAAAGCCGTTAGCATTTCTTGCTACAAAAAAGAATCACTGTTTTTTTTTTGTCTCAAAATGAGGAGTCAGTGCAAATTGCGTTGGATGGAACGCTTTTCTGGGTTTTGAGAAAGGGTAGAGGATAGTTGAAGCTGTGTCGAAAATCAACTTTCTTCTGTAGTCCATCGTTTCGCTAGCAGGCACTGCTATGGAGATGGTTTTTGACTACAATAATTATGAGAACATTGAGGTATTCACTCGGACACAGATGAGTGTGAGACAGCCAAAGGGCGTACACCACTTTGCTCTCGCTTTATGTCTCCATCTGGAACGGAAAAACATGAAAAAACTCCTGCAGCGCAACTATGTTCTTCCAGAACACAGGTACCCACAGAGCTGATCCGTTTTTGCTGTATTTTTGAATTGATTATTTTGAAAGAATGTTACAAAAGACGAATTCCGAAACCTTTGTGTAAAATGCAAATGGTAAGAGCTCATAAAAAAATTTGGCACTATTTACCCTTTACTGCCCCACTCTGTCGAGAAAGGGTTGAATTTCTATCGAATTTTTTCAAAGAAGATGAAACCGGCTAGANTCTAGCCGGTTTCATCTTCTTTGAAAAAATCCGGTAGAAATCCAGCCCATTCTCGACAAGGTGGGGCAGTAAAGGATAAATAGTGCTAAAATTTTTGGCATGAGTCATTTGTTCTGTTGCTCTTTTCCTCTTAAGAGTGGAACTTTGGCATTTCGTTGACCTATGAAGTGGATTCTGATTTGGAAGGTAGCAGATAGAAGGTGCTGAAAGCACACCAGGAGCTACTGGGTTTCTTACCCCTGCATCGAAGTAACTTCGCGTATTAGTGTGTTTGTACGTTGTGCTATGACCGAAGACAACGAGTTTAAGGAGTCGATTATAACGGATGGGAGTGGGCGACAGAAGCTAAGAAATGTCCAATGCTTTTTGCCATTTTTAGCAGACCTTTGAAACTTTAGCAAGCAAGTCCAGAATTAGTGGGTAGCTGGTGAAAGGAAGTGACAACGGTGTGGTATCTTTTCCCGGGGAGGCCTACTACGCTGATCACATCCCATTTCGACGAGCGAAGATTGATCTAACAAATGGAAGGTTACGTTGAATACAGCAAATTCACTGCCGCTTGCCGCGAGAATTTGAGTACAGGCATAAGTCGAATCTCACGGCTTACGCGAAACTTCAGTCCTTCCTGTGATGAAATCGAAACGCACGGCTGTCAATCCATCACTCCTTTTCTTCCTGGGAATGAGTGATTCGTCTTTGAACTCAATATGTTTTGCGAAAGGTTCTTTGCGCCCACGACGACACTGCATATCCGACGAGGGAAGCGTACGCCAATCGCTTGCTCTAACGAAATCTCCATCTCTTGCCAACCATCTTCTCGATGACCATATATTGAGAATGTAGTGCTCTACTCTATTGGATGTATTGGCGCACCGAGTTTTCCACGAAAAGCACCCTGATCAATTGATCGAAACCTTGAATTTCTCTTACTAATGCTATTAATTGATGCTATCACTACCGGCGGGATGGCCCGTAACCCACATTCTACTTCTTCAGCTTTTATCAGACACTTGGTCATTTTCTGTAAGTTGTTATCTGCGATCCAGTGACACTCATAACTCACGCGCTAAAGTGGCTAGGATCGGCTACCAATTCCAGAAAAGAAAGTGATTTGGTGGGTTCTTTGACTAAGACCTATTATCAGTCCTTGTCAGTCGGCATCAATCCCTGCCACCATCTACAATCTCAGGCATTCCCCGCTGAAGCGCCATGTTTCCTTTTTAGCACGAGAGTTGCGAGGCGGTTAACCTCGCTTTCTATGGCTCCGTACCAGCCCTTACCAGCACTTTTTAGTCCCTATCACCAACCGTCATCGGTTCGTTTACACCCCACATAACTACCAAAGTGTCAGGGTTTCCTTATTAAGGCGAGGGAAGTAGTTCTTGCCTTTTAAGACTCCTTAGCGGTCCCACTCAAGTGTTGTCGAATCCTGGTACCTACGTAAGTATTCCTTCCTGCTGCCCTGATATATTTCAAACTCGAAGTCTCTAGGTCCAAAAGCCAAGGGATCATGAGATCCTGGCCACACACACAAAAACACGCAAAGCAACAGACTTAGCATATGAGATAAAGCAGAATTAGCTTTGAAGAGATGGCTTGGTTAATGTGACTCATTTTACAGTACTCTCCAATTGGAAATGCGTTCTCGCCTGTGGTATATCCCCAAATCTCGGAATATCAGCTTGGCGATCTCAACGATCTCACTTCTTTTATTGATGCCCATTAGCGAATACATTTTCAGATCTGCTTCTAGGCAGTCAATCCGATTACCATGTAGTCGAAAGTATCTGCTTGTTTGTGAACCAGCTCGCTATTGCATTCGTTTTTGTACCTTTTTGTAATAAATTGTTTTCTCTGACACTTTGTTTTCTTGTACCAGCACAAAAAGCAATGGTTAAATCCAGGGCTTTGCTTCAGCTCAAAATAAAGGGAATGAACTCGTCTCGTAGCGGACCGTGCTACGGTGCTGGATTAACTTCAGAGAGAAGAAGAAGGATGATTCCGGCTCCGAACAGATTTGTTCTACAATGCTGCAAAAACCTCACAGATAATTTAATTAATGGAGGCCATATGGGTGCACGACC